TGGCGTGGGTGCCTCATGGATTGCCTTGACTTTGGATTCTAGGGGGTGAATGCCTGAGGCATCAATTCTATAGCCCAGAAAGTCCACCTGTCTAGTGGCAATGGCACATTTCTCCCTTTTTAATTTGAGGCCATGCTGTCTGAACCTGTCTAACACTGCTCTGACTCTCTGGAAGAGTTGGGGCCTGTCCCTGGCCGAGACCAATATGTCGTTGAAGTAGGGCACTACGCCAGGGAGGCCCTGAAGTATACGCTCCATGAGGGATTGGAAGATGCCAGGGGCAACACTTACGCCAAACTGGAGATGCCTGCACTGGAAGGCACCCCTGTGGGTCACAATAGTTTGTAATTCGGCTGTTTGGTTGTCAACAGGGAACTGTTGATACGCTTGTGACATGTCCAATTTGGCAAAAATGTTGCCAGGCTCAAAGGTGTGCAATAAATGTTGAATGACCGGGACTGGGTAAGCGCTAACTTGTAGAAAGAGGTTAATTGTTGTTTTGTAATCCGAACAAATTCTCAGACTGCCGTCCTTTTTAAGGGGTGTGACAATTGGCGTCTCCCATTTGGCGAAGTCTGTCGGCTCAATGACCCCTTGCTTTAATAATTTATCCAGCTCTGCGTCCAGTTTAGGCCGAATGGCGAATGGGACTCTACGAGGTTTCAGCCGGACTGGAACCGCTTGGGGGTCAACTGCAAATGAGATGGGGGTACCGTTATAACACCCCAACTCATCGCTGAATACGTCTGAGTAGTCAGTGAATAAGGAGTCAGTGTCAGAAGCTGAGACAGCATGGACTCCTGTTAACCCTAGGACGAGGTAGGGGAACCAATCAAGCCCCAAGAGACTAGGGAGGTTGCCGTTAACTACCACTAGAGGCAGGTGGCCTTTGAAAGCTTTAAAATTAACAAGGAACTTGCCTTTGCCGAGTACTGGAATGTCCTTCCCTTGATAGTCCCTCAAGGTGATCTGGCACTTCTGGAGCTGGTTTCTGGATAGTCTGGGCTGGATTTTCTTGAGAGTGCTCCAAGAGATGATTGAGAGCGCTGACCCCGTGTCAACCTCCATACGACAAGGTTTACCTTCTAATAAAATGGAGAGTGTGATTTTACTAATAGAATGACAGGTGTGGTTAGCATGGTAGCAAGTGTGACAATTTAGTACTTGCCTTTGGGGTCCAGAATGGGAAAAGGAAGGAACCTTTTGTGCTGAGTTGTGCGCGGCCTGGCAGACTCTGGCGATGTGGCCTTTTTTGTAGCAATTGTTGCAGATGGCACCTTTGAATTTGCACGAAGCTCTCGAGTGAGGTCCGCCACAGGATAGGCACAGGATGATGTGTTTGGGCGCACTGTTGCTTTCTTGCCTGGTTCCTACCTGTGGTTGTTTGGCATGAGCGAGGCGGTGGATGTCTGTTTGATCGTTGGGATCATCTTCGTTGACCACCTCTTCTGAGTGGATGGTGGCACAGCTTTGTTTGGGAACGGGACCTTGAATCTCGGTGGCTGACTGGGTTGCCAGTTCTGCAGCCAAGGCTTCCTCGACGGCCTGGGAGAGGTTGAGATCCTTCCTGGCAAGCAGTCGCCTTTGGAGGTGAAGGTCCTTGACCCCGCAGACGAGCTGGTCGAGGAGCATGTCATCTAAGTAGTTCCCGAACCCGCAGTGGAGAGCTGCAGTCCTCAAGGCGGCCATGTACTGGTTGACGGTTTCCTTTTCAGCTTGCTTCCTCATCCAGAAGGTGAAACGCCTCGCGATCTGTGAGGGCCTGGGGGAGTAATGATTGGTGAGGATCTCCAGCAATTCTGCCCAGGGAACATTCTTTAACTCACGTGGAGCAACGAGTGCTGTGGCGGTATCAAAAACGATGGCTCCGCAATAACTGAGGAAGAATGACTTCTTTCTGTGCTCCCCAGCATCAGCCAGACCAATGGCATCGATGTAGTGGTTAAAACGATTTTTGTATGACTCCCACTTTTCTTCATCAGGCTTGAACGGTGGGAAGGCTGGGTTGGAGTTCATGTTGTGAACTTCTGCAGGTTACACTGCTGTGAGATCTCTCTGGGACGACAAATGGCCCTTCGTGCTCTTGTCAGACTAGTGACTTCAGCTCTTGAGAGGTTACACAGAATCTCTCTGTTCTCTCTGGGTTACGCTATGGCTCAGGCTGCAACGGTCGTTGGCAGCGTTATTTGAATTTCGCACTCCTGGAGAGCGTAGGCAGTAATGGCTGACCGCAGCTGACAGTGATTTGAATCTCGCGCCCTGTGCTGGCGTCAGAGACTCCCGGAATGACAGCACCGCGCTGTACTCCGACTCGAATTCAAACGACAGCCGTTTGAATTTCGCGCCCTTTTTGAGCTGAGCGGCTGCGGCTCGCAGCGCTTCACTTTCCCTGTAGCTTGCTAATCGAGCGGCTACAGACGCTCTTCCTTTCGCTTTTGCTGACCAAGCTCTCCGGCGGCGCGGCTGCGGCTCAGCAATTGAGTGATTTCAGCTGTTGTGGATTGCCTCTGGTAGCCATCACATCCTCGTCGCCAGTGTTGTAGATTGAGCAATGAGAGGCTAGACCAGGGCATGGATGCAACAAGACTTTATTAAAGTAATAAAGGACTGAACGTGTTAGCCCTGCCTGGAGCAGGCTCACAGCGAACAGCGGCTGACCGAACCCTGCAGCTGGCTTTTATAGCCGGCTGTCGAGGGAAGCCAGCCAATGAGGGGCAGCAAACGCCCCCGCAGCATGAACGGACCTGGGTGGGGACTTTGGCAAGTTCCAGGGACATAACACCCACCTTGACATCTCCTGATGGATTTTTAGGAGCTGTCGGGGGAGATACCACATCTTCCAATCTCAAGACAGGCAGACACAAGACTACCTTATTTTGATACGGAGGTGGATCCAATAATGGTTTCAATAATGGCTGTTGCTGGACTTCTAAAGCAGTAATAACCATCTTCCAATAAGTTAAAACTTCTGAATCAGCCCGAGGCTCATCATGGAGAACATTGCCAATCTGTGTCCATGTTTCCAATTTTAAGGAACCTCATTCAGGGTACCATGAACACTGCATCCATACACTATGCATTAACAATTTAACATTGGATCGTGACAGTTTTTTTCCCTACCAGAAGAACTAAAGATAAAGAAATTGGTTCTGACTAACTTCAACAACTCTGTAATATGCTTCTCCTGATGTTGTGACAGTTTTCCTCCCATACTTATGAAGATAATCGTCGCCTGTGACAGTTATCGATTATGGTGCGCACCTTTGCCTCTTCCATGCGATAAGTACAGGAGAGCAGAACCCGTATCTGCTCGCAGCAGATCACGTCAGGGTCACCACTTGTGGTGGTCTCTCATGGAAAAAAGACACAACGCAAGGTTGTCCCGGGATGAGAGCCCAGAGCAAACTCCGAAACCCTCTTTTATTAGAAGCAATCTTTGTTAACGTAGCAATTTTTGTTAACGTCCTATCACAAATGCATTACATCACACAACATGCACTGATCATTTGCATAAAGCATACAAGGCTGCAAAGTTTAAGTTTGCTACAGTTCTGGTTAAGAAATGGCAACAATTTGTCCTTGTTCCTTGCTCCGGCTCCGATGTGTTAGCGCGTACACAAAGAACAAAGAATCATAGATCCCACAAGGAAGCCACAGCAGGAGAAAGAAAGAGCCGCGTGTTGCCGACACCCATTGCTTCGGCCCGTCTGCACTGCCACCCCACTTTGCTGCAACAGCACCATTACCTCATTCCGGTCAGCAAGGGCTGTGCAACTCCTTGCACACTGCACCACCTGCAAAGTTGCAAGTTGCACGTACCTCCCTCTACAGCAGAGATTTCCAGCCCCACCATGAACAGCCTAGCCAGTCCCATATTGCAGGGTTTTAGTTACAAGACTGGCCATTGGTCATCCCGAAGCAGCTCCTCCACCCAGGTACACTGCAGACCACCAAAATTTTATCGCGGACCAGCAGTAGTCCAAGGACCACCAGTTGGTGACCTCTGATCTAGCATATATGTCTTTATCCACATCTTTTGGATCTGTCTTTGTAAGCCAAGAGTTAGTCCAGAAGTGAGTAGATCAAAAAGCAAGCAAAGCCAAATCAACCCACGTCTTCCATCTCCATCCTTACTAGTGTTGACCCCTCACCTTCTCCTGAAGATGTTCCAACATAGCAGCTAAATGTGCCTCTCGGTTCTCCTTGTTGGACTCCATTTTCTGTATCAGCCTCTCTTTGGCAGTTTTGATGAAATTGTTGTTGATAGTTTTTGATGAAACTGAGGAGTCAAAACTTGTTATGTGGAAGATCTTTTGGTTGGTTCTTAGGCACATGCTCATTTTCAACCAAATTTTGGCCAAATGAGGTATTCACGATATGGTTCCCCACCAAATTTGGTCACCAATGTAAAGGGGTGGGGTGGGGGGAAGGTAAATATTTAGAGATGGCATCCATTTCCCTTGGGATATGTATATAAAAGTGATTTGGCTTTGCCTGCTTTTTGGTCTACTCACTTATGAACTAACTCTTGGCTTACAAAGACAAATCCAAATACAGTTTTTTCCTGCTCCAAAAATAAACCTTCTGTTAATTTATCATTCTTTTTTTAATGTTGACGCCATTCAACATTGTATCCCTGCCTGCTGCAAGGCTGGAGACTCTGAAATGATAAAGATTGCACCCCAAGTGACCAAAAGACAACCTCAAAGACTCGGTCGGTTTGCAAAAGAAATGTATTAGTAGTAGTATTTTATAACTTTAATCCTTTCATTTACAGTATTGTACAGCTGGTTTAAAATATAAAAATAATCTGTCCCTCTGAAAGATAACTACTCCTTTAGCTCTTCTTCCTGCTTACTTGCACATAATGGCAGATGTCAGCTTAAAGATCTGCCACTCACGTTTCCCACCAATTATTGGTATATTCAAAACCAGAAGGCAAATGTGAAGGTGTCTCCTAAGCAATGAGTTTCTTATTTAACATCAATAGGTAAAAACAATGAAAATAAATGATATTCATTAATAATATTATCATGAAATATGTCAGAGAAATTCATAGGTGAGGCGCCCAGACCCTTTCCCCCATTGCTACAATGCCAGGGTACGGTTGGTCCTGATCTCCCTCACCCTTACTGGCCTTTCTTATAAGCAGTTTTGATGATGGCATTCTTAAAAAGAGTCACTAGAGGAGTGTGACTGTGCTCTGAGGTCATGAAGCCGCCGTAGCGCTTCTTGGACAGGGCTGGGGTGTTCCACTGAAAGTGGTGCATCTTGTAGGCAGTATTATCATTTTTTACTTTCCTCAGCTGCTTTTCTTTCTCCACCGTAGTGGCTTTGCTGCTCTGTTTTTCTTCTGGGTTATTCAGATGTATGTTAATTCCTACCAGTTTCAGGGTAATCCATAGAAGTTTCGGGTTAATCCATAGAAGTTTCGGGCTGATCCGTAGTAGTTTCGGAGTGATCCTGATGATTCTCCTCCTCAGGTATGTTTGGTGTTTCAGCGTTAAAGACTTTGACGGGTCGCTTCTTCCAGCCGACTGGCTTCCCCCATCGGAAGTGCTCCATTGCATAGGAAGCATCATGCTTTTGACGGGACTCTTGGTGGCTTTCTGAGTCTCCTTCCCAGCTCTCTTGGGTTTCTGAAGAAGCCGGAGACTCATTGGAGAGGTCCACTCTGCAGGCCCTGAGGCACTCCTGCAATGGAAACAGGGGACAAACAGGGAGATATTGATGTCAAAACTACTGTACGCAGTTTCAGTTCAGCCTAGAGCTCCTTCCCCTTCCTCCTTTTCTCAGGGTTAGTGCCTCAGCAAAGGCTCACCAGCAAATCTGCCAGGCGTTTGTTAATTTGCAGGCAAGTTTTTCTAAAGCTGAACTGTTCTTATTTAAATTTAATACAGTCGTGTTTAGAATCTTATTAGTGCATGGATCATGTGTTCCTTTAAAGTAGGAAGCAATTTGGGACTGAATCTCACCTAGCCAGTCAAACCTCCCTTGTCACGTCTGCTTTTGCATCCTTCCACCGAAAGAATTTCCTATATGTTTCACCTGGTCAGGAACCAGCAAAAACTACTTTTCTCAATGATGGTAGGTGGCCAAAAAATAAGGAACTTTTGAGGGGTTTCTATTTCCCACCTACTAATTTCCAGCCATTATTGGAAATTGGATCCTAGACTAGGTGAGATAAATGGTTTGAAATCATAAATGAAGTTAGATAGCAAGACAAAATTACTCCTGTCAATGCTTCATATATCCAGTCGATTTACATTCTGCCTTCGTTTCTTAAAGAACATTCAGAATGAGATCCTTTTCTCCTCTGTGAACATCCTGAGCTTCCAGGCATCCCTTTCAGACTTACCAGCAATTTCCACATTATTGAAGCCCTCCCAACTCTAATCCGTTATAAATGCCTCATGCCTCCACTATTTTCCCCAGCAAGGAATGGTTATTTTGATCTTTCAACTCTGCAAAATTACTAGTTTTGCTACTACATCAAAACGTTCAGTCTTTCTGTAATTCAGGTCAGGGTTCTGTTTTCCATTGGGAGCGGTGGTGGGATTCAATTTTTTTTACTACCGGTTCTGTGGGCATGGCTTGGTGGGTGTGGCAGGGGAAGGATACTGTAAAATCTCAGTCAGAGATGGTATTTGCCGGTTCTCCAAACTACTCAACATTTCCACTACTGGTTCTCCAGAACTTGTCAGAACCTGCTGAATACCACCACTGATTGGGAGGATATCCTCATCACATACCTCCTCTTCCCGTGCTCAGTTTAACTATTTCATTTCCATGTGAGATCAAGTCAGATGCAGTTTCAGCAATCAGTTTCCAAAGTTCTAGTGTTTAATGTGTGTGTGGTTTAGCACTGCCTACCACCACCAGTTTGTTACATGCTGCCCAGGGGCTGCCATTTGGAAAGATTTTGCTACCATTCTGCTAACATTTGGGATGTCCCTTGAGGTTTTCAAATCCATGAGGGCTTGCCACCATGCTGATCATAAGGGTGCCCTTCCCTTCCCATCCTCTCAGATTTGTTGTTGTTGCAAAACACCAAATATACACAACGATGTGGTAGAAGAGAAATATTTTTCTTCTAGCTGGAAACAAGGGATTTCAACTGATTTGTTCAGGTTCAGGAGGCAGGGTTTAGTTATCAGCAACCAAAAAGGGTGTCAATTATTGACATTTATTGGTTGACATCTCCACGAGCTCTAGACATGCAAAGATATGGATCTGCTGTGCATACTGACCTAGATCTGAAAAAGGTAATTATTTTAGAGTTTTTTTACTTTAATTTTAAAATGCATTGTAAAAGTTTAAGACATGGAAAGACTAGTCATCTGGAAAAGAAGATTAAAGATAAGACAATAGAGAAATCAAATTCCCATTATCAGCCATTCGGTGGGTAACTCAGCCTAGCTTGCTTCTGGTATGCTCTCCTTCCATAGTCCCTTACATCAATGGGTTCCCTCTCTACAGCTGGATTATACCATCTGAGCTCATGGACCACCACATTCCCCTCCACAAAGGGCATTCAAAGGGAATTCATTGATTTCTGGAAGAGTGGCGCTAAAACAGATGGATTAAACTCCAGCACAGCTTACCATTTTGCCTCAAGTGGAAAAAGAAATGAAATGAAAACAAGAGATGGAAAGTTTATTCCCTCTCCTCTAATGAAGTATCACATCACTTTCAGACTTCATGCAGAGAGAGAGAGGGAGGGAGAGAGAGATAGGGAGGGAGAGAGAGAGAGAGATGACACAAGCAGAGGAGGAGGAGGAAGAAGGATAGATAGATGGATAGATAGATAGATAGATAGATAGATAGATAGATAGATAGATAGATAGATAGATAGATAGATAGATATAGGCAGACAGACAGACAGTGTGATCTCTGACTGCAAAAAGCTTGCTTGCGCTGCTAAGGATCTTTTCAAACAAACACATTGCATTATCACAGTTCCCAATTTCACAAAACTGTTAGAGATGGCAGAAGTGAAGACAAAAGGAAATGCTAAGATGTACTAAGAATGGGGACAAAAGGAGATACTCTCAAGATTGCTGGCAAAATGTCAGGAGATCTGTTGTCTAAACCAGGGGTCGCCAACCTTTTGGACCTCAGGGACAACCAAACTCATAATTTTAAACCCCAAGGACCACTAATATGAATTTTGACTGATAGTGGCTTGCTGATGTTGGTGGTGGTGGGGAGAGAGAGAGAGAGAGAGGAAGGGAGAGAGAGAGAGGGAGAGAGAGAGAGAGATCTGATCTAACCAAAATATAGTCACCAAACTGGTAGTAACACCTGTTGAATCCCACCCCTGCTTCAGTCCTAAGGAAGGTTCGGGTCTGCTTAAAAGCAGAGCCGAAGATCTAAAGACTAGCTAGAAAACAAGAAATGCAATGGTTTCCTGCTTTCTAGCTAATCTAAATCTCCTGGCACAGCAGAACAGCTGATGATCAGGGGGAAAAAGGAAAAATAGTAACATAGTAGGCAAATTTCCCAGGTAAGGAGTGAGTGGAGGGGGAGGGTTCCCGCAGGCCATGTGGGTGGCGCAGCCTTGTGTTCCCACGCAGCCTGGATTAATTGTTTGGGGGGTGCTCTGGGGGTGAGATTTCTCTTCGGACCACCAAAATTTTCTCGTGGACCACCAGTGGGCCATGGCCCATCAATTGGCGACCGCTTGTCTAAACCAAAGTCACTAAACTCTGGAGCTCATGATTGCACTACAGATACTGGCCGTGAAAATCTAGACCAGTATATAGATAATAAGGCATGATTTTCAAAAAATATTGTTTGATTTTAATTCTGTAATATACCCACAATCAATTGCCATCTGGATTTTTTTAAATTAGCATACATGGTTCTCTCTGAGCTTGGTTGTTTTCTTGCAGATGTTTCATTATGCAAACTAGGTAACATCATCAGTGCACTGCTGAAGATACCTGGTTTGGGTAATGAAATGTCTTCAAGACAATAACCAAGCTTGGAGAGCATCAAGGACAATAATCTCTATTTAATCCCCATATAAATCAATAACTATCTCCTATAATGTTGGGTAACAAATTCCATACACATGTTACAAGGCTTTTTATTGGGTTTACCTGAATTTAATTCACAACCTTTTCATTGGACGGTCTAAGTTCTGTGCCACCTCTCCCAAATACAGCCATCTAAGAAAAAGAGGGTCCTTGGTAAACAGTCAACTTACCATCATCTTCTCTTGTGTGTCCATGTCCCAACACCGACAGAACCTATTCACTCCTGCCACTGAATGGATGAGCAGAACTCCCATGATGGCCCAAAGACTACTCCACTGGGAGTTCAGCATCTTCAGAGAAAGAAGACTGTTTCTGCTGAGACAAAGACATTGGCCGCCAAAGAAAGCAAAGTAATATAGATTAATGAGAGCCAGTCCAATGTAGCAATTAAAGCATCACACTAGAGACTGTGAGACTGTGAATCTTTGTCTGCCTTAGACAGAAAGTTAGCACCCACCCCTCTCCAGAAAGAATGAAATATTCTAGGAAATATTAAAGAGGCAGAATATTATATTTCCCTGGATGAAGAAAAGGAGAAACATGTTTGAAAGACAAAGCAACTTCCTGCAGCTCCCTGCCCCCACTTCAGCTCCAGGTTGATGGGATTAAGACATGGCCCTCAGGAAATGATAGGATTACCCATCTCACCACATGGCACCTAGGAAGACTGCATCAGCCAGCACTCAGGTGAAGCCATGTAGTCCAGTCTACAAAGTCTACAAAGTAAGCTAAGACTCCCACCCCTGGGAGTCTGGCAGCCAATGGGATACATTTCTTACACAGGAAACAGGGGCCCAACAGAGGATGTAAAACCAAGGGATTCTCAGCATCTCTCCCCTTTTTCACCCAGGAGCTCCAAGGCATGTGATCCTGTCCACCATTAAACCATCTTCCCAAACAGCCTCCATGTTTCCAGTGTCTTTTTCCCCACTTAGAACTGAACCCAGAGGGATATTTCTTCCAACAACACAAATCCAATTGGGTGACTTTGGGCCAATCACTTTCTCTGAGCCCTAGAAAGGAAGCAATGGCAAACCACTTCTAAAAAAACCTTGCCAAGGAAGCTACAGGCAGTCTATACGAATCAGACTTAATTGAATGGAAGGCAGGGGTGGGATTCAGTTTTTTTAACAACTGCTTCTGTGGGTGTGGCTTAGTTGGTGGGTGTGGCTTGGTCATGTGACTGAGTGGGCATGGCCAACTCAACCTCACTCATGTCAAAGGGCGCTTCTCCTCGCCTGGCCTCTCATGACAGTGGGGATGCTGCCATGGCTCATAAGTGTGAAAAATGGTCATAAGTCACTTTTTAAGTGCCATTGTAACTTTGAATGGTCACTAATGTACTGTTGTAAGTCAAGGATTACCTGTACAAAAATACAAAAAACTTTGCTTGCAAAAAGTTGCCCTAAATACCAATCATTAGATGAAAAATACCTGTAAGCCAGAGTTACAAATCAGGCAGGGTGCCAGAGCACCTTGAGGAATGAAATAGTTAAAATGCAGTGATAACTATCAAGCAGCCATCTCTTGCTATAACGTGAAACCCTTAGGAGAAAGGTCATTTAAGTTCTCCAGAAAAAAAACACACCCAGGAAAAGCAATCCTTAGATCCATTTGCACCACTTAAAGATACCAGCTGGTCTCACTCACCTCACAAGATATCCTAAGGAAATCATCCAGATTTAAGGAAAGGTCACATGCCCTCCAGAAAGGCAGTAAAAAAATCAGTGCCAAGCTTGCATCCTGCTTCTTGGAAGTATACCCCAAAAGGACAGTGCCAGATAGAACTAAAGCAGTGAGGAAGACCCCCTCCCCAGATAGAAAAAGAAACCATAAGGCAGGAAAAAATTCAAACACAATACAAATAATTACATCACAACAGTAGCTGTTGCTTGTTGAAGCTGAATAGGGAAAATTATCCCATCAATAAACACAGGATTAAACGTCACCAAGCACAGAATTAACCTTCACCAAAAACCAGTTTTAGACCAAAACTCAGGGTATATAAACTCACGATTGAATGTCAATCTTTCTAGCTAGCCAAGAAGCCTTGCTGAATGTCACTCATCTTGGTTCCCTGTCATTAAAAGCTTTGCTTCATTATTCAATTATTTCTTCAAAGTGCTGATTGTCCGGGGAAGTATCAAGATCAGAACATTTTTGTAATGTGTTTACTGCTAAAAGTTATACAGAATTGCAAAATATCCTGTCCTTGGCTTAGTTTGAGATACATATTTGGATCATCTTGACATTATAGGGATATTAATGATCTCTTGTGTAATCTTTTAAGTAGAAAACAGGAAATCTGATGATTAAGTGGTGAAGTGAAGAAAAGTTGGGAGATGTCCATGAGAGGATGGGACTTTCTTGTGAGAAACGTTGTATAACTTCTATGTATGGAAAACAGGAAGTATTATATGTAATCTGTTAAATGTGATTCCTATATAAGCTGTATTTACTAGAAGGGAGTGCCTCCTTTCTCCTAAAATGGTTGTTTTAGAGTTAGGCGTTCGGTACTGCAGTATCTTATGTAATAAAGCATCCTAATGGTCACAGATTACCATAGTCTATTGTTTTATTTTTATCGAATTCTCACAGTACCTGCCTACTTATTTTAGTTAAGAATAAGACTTTGCAGGCTGTAACACTAACATCCAGGCACAAGCATAATACATTTCCATTAATGTCTTCTGTCAGAGTATATTCATGAACTGGAATGGAGCATGGTAACAAGGTCAGCCAATGAATAGGCATAGCAACTAAGTCAGCCAATGAAAACTATTTGGAAACTGAAATTAGAAGTAGCCTAGGCGTGGCTCTATATTAAGCTCTGCAAATCTGCAGCTATGTGAAGCTCTGAGTCTGTCTATTGAAATGAAACTGCTTCTCTCCTCTGCTTGCCTGCTGAACTAAAGTGAAACTGATGTCTGTTTCTGAGCTCCTGAGTTGCTGCTGAAGCTCTGAACTTGTAACATGTCTACTTCTGTCTGAGTTTGCTCCATGTTGGAGAAATCCATAACTGGTTTGTAAAGTCTATTTATTATGTTTATAAAGTTGTTAAATGAAGCATTTGTGTTTAATTTTCTGGTGCTGAATTAATGCTGCAAAACTCTGAATATCTTCAGACTCACATAGACCCGGAAATTCTTGGAAAAATAAAATAAATGGTTCAGAGTCAGCAGCCCTGTCCTTTTTTAAACATTTTTGTGACAATGTCTATCATGTGCTATCAGAATTACAGATGTGCTTACTATATTAGTCCTTGTAGAAGTTAGCACCCACCCCTCCCCTAGAAAATTTAAATATCCTAGGAAATATTAAAAAGGAAGAATATTTCCCCTAAAAATGAGTACAAACTCTGAAGCAGAAACTCACCTCAGAAGCAGAAACTCAGCCGCCGCCCCCCCCGACCCCCGCTTTGCTAATGGGCCATTACAGTAAGAGTGAGTGGTAAAAATTAACCAGCATTCAGGTGAAGTGATGTGGTCCAGACAAAGTCTACAACAGGGGTCTCCAACCTTGGCAACTTTAAGCCTGGAGGACTTCAACTCCCAGAATTCCCCAGCCAGCAAAGCTGAGTTGAAGTCCTCCAGGCTTAAAGTTGCCAAGGTTGGAGACCCCTGGTCTACAAAGTAAGCTAAGACTCCCACCCCTGGGAATCTGACAGCCAATGGGATACATTTCTTACACAGGAACAGGAAACACTAAGGTGGGGCCCAACAGAGGGTATGAAACCAAGGGATTCTCAGCATCTCTCCCCTTTTTCACCTAGGAGCTTCAAGCCATGTGGTCCTGTCCACCATTAAACCGTCTTTCTAAACAGCCTCCATGTTTCCAGTGTCTTTTTCCCCACTTGGAACTGAACCCAGAAGGATAATTCTTCCATCATCCTAAAAGGGAAGAGAACTATTGTTTTAAATGCTAGACAATTCTAGCATTAGTGGTTGGCACAGCCAACCTGAACTCATTAACATTATATTTTCCCACTAATTTGCTTAACCTCTCCCACACATATATGCTGACACATATATGATAAACCCTAATAAAGTTGATTTGCTTCTGCCTTATCCTGTTGTACAAGTCCAGCCACTATGTTTGGCAACCATCGTGGAAGTATAGGAACACAATTTATTGTGATTTGTTCAATAAGCCATTGTTAAAAGAAACCATTCCTTAGAGTAATAATGTGTGAAACTAGCTAGAGATGGTGGTGCTAATGGGTTTCCTAGAATATTCTTCATGTATTTGCTGCCTTGCCATGAAGGCAGAGGTACAACCTTCATGAAAGGAAGGAAGGAAGGAAGGAAGGAAAGAAAGAAAGAAAGAAAGAAAGAAAGAAAGAAAGAAAGAAAG